AATCTGGGAGAAGGGGATGGAATCTGGGAGAAGGGGATGGAATCGGGGAGAAGGGGATGGAATCTGAGAGAAGGGGATGGAATCTGGGAGAAGGGGATGGAATCATTGAGAAGGGGATGGAATCTGGAGAAGGGGATAGAATCTGGCAGAAGAGGGATGAATCTGGGAGAAGGGGATGGAATCGGGGAGAAGGGATGGAATCTGGGAGAAGGGGATGGAATCTGGGAGAGGGATGGAATCTGGGAGAAGGGGATGGAATCTGGGAGAAGGGGATGGAATCAGGGAGAAGGGGATGGAATCTGGAGAAGGGGATGGAATCTGGGAGAAGGGATGGAATCTGGGAGAAGGGGATGGAATCTGGGAGAAGGGGATGGAATATGGGAGAAGGGGATGGAATCTGGGAGAAGGGATGGAATCGGGGAGAAGGGGATGGAATGAGGGAGAAGGGGATGGAATCTGGGAGAAGGATGGAATCTGGGAGAAGGGGGTGGATCTGGGAGAAGGGGATGGAATCTGGGAGAAGGGGATGGAATCTGGGAGAAGGGGATGGAATCTGGGAGAAGGGGATGGAATCTGGGAGTAGGGGATGGAATCTGGCGAAGAGGGGGAATCTGGGAGAAGAAGATGGAATCTGGAGAAGGGGTGGAATCTGGGAGAAGGGGATGGAATCTGGGAGAAGGGGATGGAATCTGGGAGAAGGGGATGGAATCTGGGAGAAGGGGATGGAATCTGCGAGAAGGGGATGGAATATGGGAGAAGGGGATGGGATTTGGGAGAAGGGGATGGAATCTGGGAGAAGGGGGTGGAATCTAGGAGAAGGGGATGGAATCTAGGAGAAGGGGATGGAATCAGGGAGAAGGGGATGGAATCTGGGAGAAGGGGATGGAATCACGGAGAGGGGGATGAAATCTCGGAGAAGGGGATGGAATCTGGGAGAAGGGGTTGGACTCTAGGAGAAGGGGATGGAATCTGGGAGAAGGGGATGGAATCGAGGAGAAGGGGATGGAATGAGGGAGAAGGGGATGGAATCTGGGAGAAGGGGATGAAATCTGGGAGAAGGGGATGAAATCTGGGAGAAGGGATTGGAATCTGGGAGAAGGGGGTGGACTCTAGGAGAAGGGGATGGAATCTGGGAGAAGGGGATAGAATCTGGGAGAAGGAGATGGAATCTGGGAGAAGGGGATGGAATCTGGGAGAAGGGGATGGAATCTAGGAGAAGGGGATGGAATCTGGGAGAAGGGGATGGAATCTAGAAGAAGGGGATGGAATCTGGGAGAAGGGGATGGAATGTGGGAGAAGGGGATGGAATCGGGGAGAAGGGGATGGAATCTCGGAGAAGGGGATGGAATCTGGGAGAAGGGGATGGATTCTGGGAGAAGGGGATGGAATCAGGAAGAAGGGGATGGAATCAGGAAGAAGGGGATAGAATCTGGGAGAAGGGGATGGAATCTGGGAGAAGGGGATGGAATCTGGGAGAAGGGGGTGGAATCTGGTAGAAGGGGATGAAATCTGGGAGAAGGGGATGGAATCTGGGAGAAGGGGATGGAATCGGGGAGAAGGGGATGGAATCTGAGAGAAGGGGATGGAATCATTGAGAAGGGGGTGGAATCTGGGAGAAGGGGATAGAATCTGGCAGAAGAGGATGGAATCTGGGAGAAGGGGATGGAATCGGGGAGAAGGGGATGGAATCTGGGAGAAGGGGATAGAATCTGGGAGAAGGGGATGGAATCTGGGAGAAGGGGATGGAATCTGGGATGAAGGGGATGGAATCAGGGAGAAGGGGATGGAATCTGGAGAAGGGGATGGAATCTGGGAGAAGGGGATGGAATCTGGGAGAAGGGGATGGAATCTGGGAGAAGGGGATGGAATATGGGAGAAGGGGATGGAATCTGGGAGAAGGGGATGGAATCGGGGAGAAGGGGATGGAATGAGGGAGAAGGGGATGGAATCTGGGAGAAGGGGATGGAATCTGGGAGAAGGGGGTGGAATCTGGGAGAAGGGATGGAATCTGGGAGAAGGGGATGGAATCTGGGAGAAGGGGATGGAATCTGGGAGAAGGGGATGGAATCTGGGAGAAGGGGATGGAGTCTGGCAGAAGAGGGTGGAATCTGGGAGAAGGGGATGGAATCTGGGAGAAGGGGATGGAATCTGGGAGAAGGGGGTGGAATCTGGGAGAAGGGGATGGAATCTGGGAGAAGGGGATGGAATCTGGGAGAAGGGGATGGAATCTGGGAGAAGGGGATGGAATTTGCGAGAAGGGGATGGAATATGGGAGAAGGGGATGGGATCTGGGAGAAGGGGATGGAATCTGGGAGAAAGGGATAGAATCTAGGAGAAGGGGATGGAATATGGGAGAAGGGGGTGGAATCTGGGAGAAGGGGATGGAATCTAGGAGAAGGGGATGGAATCAGGGAGATGGGGATGGAATGTGGGAGAAGGGGATGGAATCACGGAGAGGGGGATGAAATCTGGGAGAAGGGGATGGAATCTGGGAGAAGGGGTTGGACTCTAGGAGAAGGGGATGGAATCTGGGAGAAGGGGATGGAATCGGGGAGAAGGGGATGGAATGAGGGAGAAGGGGATGGAATCTGGGAGAAGGGGATGAAATCTGGGAGAAGGGATTGGAATCTGGGAGAAGGGGGTGGACTCTAGGAGAAGGGGATGGAATCTGGGAGAAGGGGATGGAATCTGGGAGAAGGAGATGGAATCTGGGAGAAGGGGATGGAATCTGGGAGAAGGGGATGGAATGAGGGAGAAGGGGATGGAATCTGGGAGAAGGGGATGGAATCTGGGAGAAGGGGATGGAATCTGGGAGAAGGGGATGGACTCTGGGAGAAGGGGATAGAATCTGGGAGAAGGGGATGGAATCAGGGAGAAGGGGATGGAATCAGGGAGAACGGGATGGAGTCTGGGAGAAGGGGATGGAATCAGGAAGAAGGGGATGAAATGTGGGAGAAGGGGATGGAATCTGGGAGAAGGGGGTGGACTCTAGGAGAAGGGGATGGAATCTGGGAGAAGGGGGTGGAATCTGGGAGAAGGGGGTGGAATCTGGGAGAAGGGGATGGAATCTGGGAGAAGGGGATGGAATCTGGGAGAAGGGGATGGAATCTGGGAGAAGGGGATGGAGTCTGGCAGAAGAGGGTGGAATCTGGGAGAAGGGGATGGAATCTGGGAGAAGGGGATGGAATCTGGGAGAAGGGGGTGGAATCTGGGAGAAGGGGATGGAATCTGGGAGAAGGGGATGGAATCTGGGAGAAGGGGATGGAATCTGGGAGAAGGGGATGGAATTGCGAGAAGGGGATGGAATATGGGAGAAGGGATGGGATCTGGGAGAAGGGGATGGAATCTGGGAGAAAGGGATAGAATCTAGGAGAAGGGGATGGAATATGGGAGAAGGGGGTGGAATCTGGGAGAAGGGGATGGAATCTAGGAGAAGGGGATGGAATCAGGGAGATGGGGATGGAATGTGGGAGAAGGGGATGGAATCACGGAGAGGGGGATGAAATCTGGGAGAAGGGGATGGAATCTGGGAGAAGGGGTTGGACTCTAGGAGAAGGGGATGGAATCTGGGAGAAGGGGATGGAATCGGGGAGAAGGGGATGGAATGAGGGAGAAGGGGATGGAATCTGGGAGAAGGGGATGAAATCTGGGAGAAGGGATTGGAATCTGGGAGAAGGGGGTGGACTCTAGGAGAAGGGGATGGAATCTGGGAGAAGGGGATGGAATCTGGGAGAAGGAGATGGAATCTGGGAGAAGGGGATGGAATCTGGGAGAAGGGGATGGAATGAGGGAGAAGGGGATGGAATCTGGGAGAAGGGGATGGAATCTGGGAGAAGGGGATGGAATCTGGGAGAAGGGGATGGACTCTGGGAGAAGGGGATAGAATCTGGGAGAAGGGGATGGAATCAGGGAGAAGGGGATGGAATCAGGGAGAACGGGATGGAGTCTGGGAGAAGGGGATGGAATCAGGAAGAAGGGGATGAAATGTGGGAGAAGGGGATGGAATCTGGGAGAAGGGGGTGGACTCTAGGAGAAGGGGATGGAATCTGGGAGAAGGGGGTGGAATCTGGGAGAAGGGGATGGAATCTGGGAGAAGGGGATGGAATCTGGGAGAAGGGGATGGAATCTGGGAGAAGGGGATGGAATCTGGGAGAAGGGGATGGAGTCTGGCAGAAGAGGGTGGAATCTGGGAGAAGGGGATGGAATCTGGGAGAAGGGGATGGAATCTGGGAGAAGGGGGTGGAATCTGGGAGAAGGGGATGGAATCTGGGAGAAGGGGATGGAATCTGGGAGAAGGGGATGGAATCTGGGAGAAGGGGATGGAATTTGCGAGAAGGGGATGGAATATGGGAGAAGGGGATGGGATCTGGGAGAAGGGGATGGAATCTGGGAGAAAGGGATAGAATCTAGGAGAAGGGGATGGAATATGGGAGAAGGGGGTGGAATCTGGGAGAAGGGGATGGAATCTAGGAGAAGGGGATGGAATCAGGGAGATGGGGATGGAATGTGGGAGAAGGGGATGGAATCACGGAGAGGGGGATGAAATCTGGGAGAAGGGGATGGAATCTGGGAGAAGGGGTTGGACTCTAGGAGAAGGGGATGGAATCTGGGAGAAGGGGATGGAATCGGGGAGAAGGGGATGGAATGAGGGAGAAGGGGATGGAATCTGGGAGAAGGGGATGAAATCTGGGAGAAGGGATTGGAATCTGGGAGAAGGGGGTGGACTCTAGGAGAAGGGGATGGAATCTGGGAGAAGGGGATGGAATCTGGGAGAAGGAGATGGAATCTGGGAGAAGGGGATGGAATCTGGGAGAAGGGGATGGAATGAGGGAGAAGGGGATGGAATCTGGGAGAAGGGGATGGAATCTGGGAGAAGGGGATGGAATCTGGGAGAAGGGGATGGACTCTGGGAGAAGGGGATAGAATCTGGGAGAAGGGGATGGAATCAGGGAGAAGGGGATGGAATCAGGGAGAACGGGATGGAGTCTGGGAGAAGGGGATGGAATCAGGAAGAAGGGGATGAAATGTGGGAGAAGGGGATGGAATCTGGGAGAAGGGGGTGGACTCTAGGAGAAGGGGATGGAATCTGGGAGAAGGGGATGGAATCTGGGAGAAGGGGATGGACTCTGGGAGAAGGGGATGGAATCTGGGAGAAGGGGATGGAATCCGGGAGAAGGGGATGGAATCAGGGAGAAGGGGATGGAATCTGGGAGAAGGGGATGGAATCAGGGAGAAGGGGATGAAATCTGGGAGAAGGGGATGGAATCTGGGAGAAGGGGGTGGAATCTGGGAGAAGGGGATGGAATCTGGGAGAAGGGGTTGGAATCAGGGAGAAGGAGATGGAATCTGGGAGAAGGGGATGGAATCTGGGAGAAGGGGATGGAATCTGGGAGAAGGGGATGGAATCTGGGAGAAGGGGATGGAATATGGGAGGAGGGGGTGGACTCTGGGAGAAGGGGATGGAATCTGGGAGAAGGGGATGGAATCTGGGAGAAGGGGATGGAATCTGGGAGAAGGGGATGGAATCTGGGAGAAGGGGATGGAATCTGGGAGAAGGGGATGGAATCTAGGAGAAGGGGATGGAATCTGGGAGAAGGGGATGGAATCTGGGAGAAGGGGATGGAATCTGGGAGAAGGGGATGGACTCTGGGAGAAGGGGATGGAATCTGGGAGAAGGGGATGGAATCTGGGAGAAGGGGGTGGAATCTGGTAGAAGGGGATGAAATTTGGGAGAAGGGGATGGAATCTGGGAGAAGGGGATGGAATCTGGGAGAAGGGGATGGAATGTGGGAGAAGGGGATGGAATCGGGGAGAAGGGGATGGAATCTCGGAGAAGGGGATGGAATCTGGGAGAAGGGGATGGATTCTGGGAGAAGGGGATGGAATCAGGAAGAAGGGGATGGGATCAGGAAGAAGGGGATAGAATCTGGGAGAAGGGGATGGAATCTGGGAGAAGGGGATGGAATCTGGGAGAAGGGGGTGGAATCTGGTAGAAGGGGATGAAATCTGGGAGAAGGGGATGGAATCTGGGAGAAGGGGATGGAATCGGGGAGAAGGGGATGGAATCTGAGAGGAGGGGATGGAATCATTGAGAAGGGGGTGGAATCTGGGAGAAGGGGATAGAATCTGGCAGAAGAGGATGGAATCTGGGAGAAGGGGATGGAATCGGGGAGAAGGGGATGGAATCTGGGAGAAGGGGATGGAATCTGGGAGAAGGGGATGGAATCTGGGAGAAGGGGATGGAATCTGGGAGAAGGGGATGGAATCAGGGAGAAGGGGATGGAATCTGGGAGAAGGGGATGGAATCTGGGAGAAGGGGATGGAATCTGGGAGAAGGGGATGGAATCTGGGAGAAGGGGATGGAATATGGGAGAAGGGGATGGAATCTGGGAGAAGGGGATGGAATCGGGGAGAAGGGGATGGAATGAGGGAGAAGGGGATGGAATCTGGGAGAAGGGGATGGAATCTGGGAGAAGGGGGTGGAATCTGGGAGAAGGGGATGGAATCTGGGAGAAGGGGATGGAATCTGGGAGAAGGGGATGGAATCTGGGAGAAGGGGATGGAATCTGGGAGAAGGGGATGGAGTCTGGCAGAAGAGGGTGGAATCTGGGAGAAGGGGATGGAATCTGGGAGAAGGGGATGGAATCTGGGAGAAGGGGGTGGAATCTGGGAGAAGGGGATGGAATCTGGGAGAAGGGGATGGAATCTGGGAGAAGGGGATGGAATCTGGGAGAAGGGGATGGAATTTGCGAGAAGGGGATGGAATATGGGAGAAGGGGATGGGATCTGGGAGAAGGGGATGGAATCTGGGAGAAAGGGATAGAATCTAGGAGAAGGGGATGGAATATGGGAGAAGGGGGTGGAATCTGGGAGAAGGGGATGGAATCTAGGAGAAGGGGATGGAATCAGGGAGAAGGGGATGGAATGTGGGAGAAGGGGATGGAATCACGGAGAGGGGGATGAAATCTGGGAGAAGGGGATGGAATCTGGGAGAAGGGGTTGGACTCTAGGAGAAGGGGATGGAATCTGGGAGAAGGGGATGGAATCGGGGAGAAGGGGATGGAATGAGGGAGAAGGGGATGGAATCTGGGAGAAGGGGATGAAATCTAGGAGAAGGGATTGGAATCTGGGAGAAGGGGGTGGACTCTAGGAGAAGGGGATGGAATCTGGGAGAAGGGGATGGAACCTGGGAGAAGGAGATGGAATCTGGGAGAAGGGGATGGAATCTGGGAGAAGGGGATGGAATGAGGGAGAAGGGGATGGAATCTGGGAGAAGGGGATGGAATCTGGGAGAAAAGGATGGAATCTGGGAGAAGGGGATGGACTCTGGGAGAAGGGGATAGAATCTGGGAGAAGGGGATGGAATCAGGGAGAAGGGGATGGAATCAGGGAGAACGGGATGGAGTCTGGGAGAAGGGGATGGAATCAGGAAGAAGGGGATGAAATGTGGGAGAAGGGGATGGAATCTGGGAGAAGGGGGTGGACTCTAGGAGAAGGGGATGGAATCTGGGAGAAGGGGATGGAATCTGGGAGAAGGGGATGGACTCTGGGAGAAGGGGATGGAATCTGGGAGAAGGGGATGGAATCTGGGAGAAGGGGATGGAATCAGGGAGAAGGGGATGGAATCTGGGAGAAGGGGATGGAATCAGGGAGAAGGGGATGAAATCTGGGAGAAGGGGATGGAATCTAGGAGAAGGGGGTGGACTCTGGGAGAAGGGGATGGAATCTGGGAGAAGGGGTTGGAATCAGGGAGAAGGAGATGGAATCTGGGAGAAGGCGATGGAATCTGGGAGAAGGGGATGGAATCTGGGAGAAGGGGATGGAATCTGGGAGAAGGGGATGGAATATGGGAGGAGGGGGTGGACTCTGGGAGAAGGGGATGGAATCTGGGAGAAGGGGATGGAATCTGGGAGAAGGGGATGGAATCTGGGAGAAGGGGATGGAATCTGGGAGAAGGGGATGGAATCTGGGAGAAGGGGATGGAATCTGGGAGAAGGGGATGGAATCTGGGAGAAGGGGATGGAATCTGGGAGAAGGGGATGGAATCTGGGAGAAGGGGATGGACTCTGGGAGAAGGGGATGGAATCTGGGAGAAGGGGATGGAATCTGGGAGAAGGGGGTGGAATCTGGTAGAAGGGGATGAAATTTGGGAGAAGGGGATGGAATCTGGGAGAAGGGGATGGAATCGGGGAGAAGGGGATGGAATCTGAGAGAAGGGGATGGAATCTGGGAGAAGGGGATGGAATCATTGAGAAGGGGGTGGAATCTGGGAGAAGGGGATAGAATCTGGCAGAAGAGGATGGAATCTGGGAGAAGGGGATGGAATCGGGGAGAAGGGGATTGAATCTGGGAGAAGGGGATGGAATCTGGGAGAAGGGGATGGAATCTGGGAGAAGGGGATGGAATCTGGGAGAAGGGGATGGAATCAGGGAGAAGGGGATGGAATCTGGGAGAAGGGGATGGAATCTGGGAGAAGGGGATGGAATCTGGGAGAAGGGGATGGAATCTGGGAGAAGGGCATGGAATATGGGAGAAGGGGATGGAATCTGGGAGAAGGGGATGGAATCGGGGAGAAGGGGATGGAATGAGGGAGAAGGGGATGGAATCTGGGAGAAGGGGATGGAATCTGGGAGAAGGGGGTGGAATCTGGGAGAAGGGGATGGAATCTGGGAGAAGGGGATGGAATCTGGGAGAAGGGGATGGAATCTGGGAGAAGGGGATGGAATCTGGGAGAAGGGGATGGAATCTGGCAGAAGAGGATGGAATCTGGGAGAAGGGGATGGAATCTGGGAGAAGGGGATGGAATCTGGGAGAAGGGGGTGGAATCCGGGAGAAGGGGATGGAATCTGGGAGAAGGGGATGGAATCTGGGAGAAGGGGATGGAATCTGGGAGAAGGGGATGGAATCTGCGAGAACGGGATGGAATATGGGAGAAGGGGATGGGATCTGGGAGAAGGGGATGGAATCTGGGAGAAAGGGATGGAATCTAGGAGAAGGGGATGGAATATGGGAGAAGGGGGTGGAATCTGGGAGAAGGGGATGGAATCTAGGAGAAGGGGATGGAATCAGGGAGAAGGGGATGGAATCTGGGAGAAGGGGATGGAATCAGGGAGAGGGGGATGAAATCTGGGAGAAGGGGATGGAATCTGGGAGAAGGGGTTGGACTCTAGGAGAAGGGGATGGAATCTGGGAGAAGGGGATGGAATCGGGGAGAAGGGGATGGAATGAGGGAGAAGGGGATGGAATCTGGGAGAAGGGGATGAAATCTGGGAGAAGGGATTGGAATCTGGGAGAAGGGGGTGGACTCTAGGAGAAGGGGATGGAATCTGGGAGAAGGGGATGGAATCTGGGAGAAGGAGATGGAATCTGGGAGAAGGGGATGGAATCTGGGAGAAGGGGATGGAATGAGGGAGAAGGGGATGGAATCTGGGAGAAGGGGATGGAATCTGGGAGAAGGGGATGGAATCTGGGAGAAGGGGATGGACTCTGGGAGAAGGGGATAGAATCTGGGAGAAGGGGATGGAATCTGGGAGAAGGGGATGGAATCAGGGAGAACGGGATGGAGTCTGGGAGAAGGGGATGGAATCAGGGAGAAGGGGATGAAATGTGGGAGAAGGGGATGGAATCTGGGAGAAGGGGGTGGACTCTAGGAGAAGGGGATGGAATCTGGGAGAAGGGGATGGAATCTGGGAGAAGGGGATGGACTCTGGGAGAAGGGGATGGAATCTGGGAGAAGGGGATGGAATCTGGGAGAAGGGGATGGAATCAAGGAGAAGGGGATGGAATCTGGGAGAAGGGGATGAAATCAGGGAGAAGGGGATGAAATATGGGAGAAGGGGATGGAATCTAGGAGAAGGGGGTGGACTCTGGGAGAAGGGGATGGAATCTGGGAGAAGGGGTTGGAATCAGGGAGAAGGAGATGGAATCTGGGAGAAGGGGATGGAATCTGGGAGAAGGGGATGGAATCTGGGAGAAGGAGATTGAATCTGGGAGAAGGGGATGGAATCTGGGAGAAGGGGATGGAATCTGGGAGAAGGGGATGGAATCTGGGAGAAGGGGATGGAATCTGGGAGAAGGGGATGGAATCTGGGAGAAGGGGATGGAATCTGGGAGAAGGGGATGGACTCTGGGAGAAGGGGATGGAATCTGGGAGAAGGGGATGGAATCTGGGAAAAGGGATGGAATCTGATAGAAGGGGATGGAATCTGGGAGAAGGGGATGGAATCTGGGAGAAGGGGATGGAATCTGGGAGAAGGGGGTGGACTCTGGGAGAAGGGGATGGAATCTGGGAGAAGGGGATGGAATCTGGGAGAAGGAGATGGAATCTGGGAGAAGGGGATGGAATCTGGGAGAAGGGGATGGAATATGGGAGAAGGGGATGGAATCTTGGAGAAGGGGATGGAATCTGGGAGAAGGGGATGGAATCTGGGAGAAGGGGATGGAATCAGGGAGAAGGGGATGAAATCTGGGAGAAGGGGATGGAATCTGGGAGAAGGGGGCGGACTCTGGGAGAAGGGGATGGAATCTGGGAGAAGGGGTTGGAATCAGGGAGAAGGAGATGGGATCTGGGAGAAGGGGATGGAATCTGGGAGAAGGGGATGGAATCTGGGAGAAGGGGATGGAATATGGGAGAAGGGGATGGAATATGGGAGGAGGGGGTGGACTCTGGGAGAAGGGGATGGAATCTGGGAGAAGGGGATGGAATCTAGGAGAAGGAGATTGAATCTGGGAGAAGGGGATGGAATCTGGGAAAAGGGGATGGAATCTCAGAGAAGGGGATGGAATCTGGGAGAAGGGGATGGAATATGGGAGAAGGGGATGGAATCTGGGAGAAGGGGATGGAATCTGGGAGAAGGGGATGGACTCTGGGAGAAGGGGATGGAATGTGGGAGAAGGGGATGGAATCTGGGAGAAGGGGATGGAATCTGAGAGAAGGGGATGGAATCTGGGAGAAGGGGATGGAATCTGGGAGAAGGGGATGGAATCTGGGAGAAGGGGGTGGAATCTGGGAGAAGGGGATGGAATCTGGGAGAAGGGGATGGACTCTGGGAGAAGGGGATGGAATCTGGGAGAAGGGGATGGAATCTGGGAGAAGGGGATGGAATCAAGGAGAAGGGGATGGAATCTGGGAGAAGGGGATGAAATCAGGGAGAAGGGGATGAAATATGGGAGAAGGGGATGGAATCTAGGAGAAGGGGGTGGACTCTGGGAGAAGGGGATGGAATCTGGGAGAAGGGGATGGAATCTGGGAGAAGGGGATGGAATCTGGGAGAAGGGGATGGAATCTGGGAGAAGGGGATGGAATCTGGCAGAAGAGGATGGAATCTGGGAGAAGGGGATGGAATCTGGGAGAAGGGGATGGAATCTGGGAGAAGGGGGTGGAATCCGGGAGAAGGGGATGGAATCTGGGAGAAGGGGATGGAATCTGGGAGAAGGGGATGGAATCTGGAAGAAGGGGATGGAATCTGCGAGAACGGGATGGAATATGGGAGAAGGGGATGGGATCTGGGAGAAGGGGATGGAATCTGGGAGAAAGGGATGGAATCTATGAGAAGGGGATGGAATCTGGGAGAAGGGGGTGGAATCTGGGAGAAGGGGATGGAATCTAGGAGAAGGGGATGGAATCAGGGAGAAGGGGATGGAATCTGGGAGAAGGGGATGGAATCAGGGAGAGGGGGATGAAATCTGGGAGAAGGGGATGGAATCTGGGAGAAGGGGTTGGACTCTAGGAGAAGGGGATGGAATCTGGGAGAAGGGGATGGAATCGGGGAGAAGGGGATGGAATGAGGGAGAAGGGGATGGAATCTGGGAGAAGGGGATGAAATCTGGGAGAAGGGATTGGAATCTGGGAGAAGGGGGTGGACTCTAGGAGAAGGGGATGGAATCTGGGAGAAGGGGATGGAATCTGGGAGAAGGAGATGGAATCTGGGAGAAGGGGATGGAATCTGGGAGAAGGGGATGGAATGAGGGAGAAGGGGATGGAATCTGGGAGAAGGGGATGGAATCTGGGAGAAGGGGATGGAATCTGGGAGAAGGGGATGGACTCTGGGAGAAGGGGATAGAATCTGGGAGAAGGGGATGGAATCTGGGAGAAGGGGATGGAATCAGGGAGAACGGGATGGAGTCTGGGAGAAGGGGATGGAATCAGGGAGAAGGGGATGAAATGTGGGAGAAGGGGATGGAATCTGGGAGAAGGGGGTGGACTCTAGGAGAAGGGGATGGAATCTGGGAGAAGGGGATGGAATCTGGGAGAAGGGGATGGACTCTGGGAGAAGGGGATGGAATCTGGGAGAAGGGGATGGAATCTGGGAGAAGGGGATGGAATCAAGGAGAAGGGGATGGAATCTGGGAGAAGGGGATGAAATCAGGGAGAAGGGGATGAAATATGGGAGAAGGGGATGGAATCTAGGAGAAGGGGGTGGACTCTGGGAGAAGGGGATGGAATCTGGGAGAAGGGGTTGGAATCAGGGAGAAGGAGATGGAATCTGGGAGAAGGGGATGGAATCTGGGAGAAGGGGATGGAATCTGGGAGAAGGAGATTGAATCTGGGAGAAGGGGATGGAATCTGGGAGAAGGGGATGGAATCTGGGAGAAGGGGATGGAATCTGGGAGAAGGGGATGGAATCTGGGAGAAGGGGATGGAATCTGGGAGAAGGGGATGGAATCTGGGAGAAGGGGATGGACTCTGGGAGAAGGGGATGGAATCTGGGAGAAGGGGATGGAATCTGGGAAAAGGGATGGAATCTGATAGAAGGGGATGGAATCTGGGAGAAGGGGATGGAATCTGGGAGAAGGGGATGGAATCTGGGAGAAGGGGGTGGACTCTGGAAGAAGGGGATGGAATCTGGGAGAAGGGGATGGAATCTGGGAGAAGGAGATGGAATCTGGGAGAAGGGGATGGAATCTGGGAGAAGGGGATGGAATATGGGAGAAGGGGATGGAATCTTGGAGAAGGGGATGGAATCTGGGAGAAGGGGATGGAATCTGGGAGAAGGGGACGGAATCAGGGAGAAGGGGATGAAATCTGGGAGAAGGGGATGGAATCTGGGAGAAGGGGATGGAATCTGGGAGAAGGGGATGGAATCTGGGAGAAGGGGATGGAATCTGGGAGAAGGGGATGGAATCTGGGAGAAGGGGATGGAATCTGGGAGAAGGGGATGGACTCTGGGAGAAGGGGATGGAATCTGGGAGAAGGGGATGGAATCTGGGAAAAGGGATGGAATCTGATAGAAGGGGATGGAATCTGGGAGAAGGGGATGGAATCTGGGAGAAGGGGATGGAATCGGGGAGAAGGGGATAAAATCTGAGAGAAGGGGATGGAATTTGGGAGAAGGGGATGGAATCAGTGAGAAGGGGGTGGAATCTGGGAGAAGGGGATAGAATCTGGAAGAAGGGGATGGAATCTGGGAGAAGGGGATGGAATCGGGGAGAAGGGGATGGAATCTGGGAGAAGGGGATGGAATCTGGGAGAAGGGGATGGAATCTGGGAGAAGGGGATGGAATCTGGGAGAAGGGGATGGAATCAGGGAGAAGGGGATGGAATCTCGGAGAAGGAGATGGAATCTGGGAGAAGCGGATGGAATCTGGGAGAAGAGAATGGAATCTGGGAGAAGTGGATGGAATCTGGGAGAAGGGGATGAAATCTGGGAGAAGGGGATGGAATCTGGAAGAAGGGGATGGAATCTGGGAGAAGGGGATGGAATCTGGGAGAAGGGGATGGAATCGGGGAGAAGGGGATGGAATCTGGGAGAAGGGGATGGAATCCGGGAGAATAGGGTGGAATCTGGGAGAAGGGGATGGAATCTGGGAGAAGGGGGTGGAATCTGGGAGAAGGAGATGGAATCTGGGAGAAGCGGATGGAATCTGGGAGACGGGAATGGAATCTAGGAGAAGGGGATGGAATCTTGGAGAAGGGGATGGGATCTGGGAGAAGGGGATGGAATCTGGGAGAAGGGGATGGAATCTGGGAGAAGGGGATGGAAGCTGGGAGAAGGGGATGGAATCGGGGAGAAGGGGATGGAATCTGGGAGAAGGGGATGGAATCTGGGAGAAGGGGATGGAATCTGGGAGAAGGGGATGGAATCTGGGAGAAGGGGATAGAATCTGGGAGAAGGGGATGGAATCAGGGAGAAGGGGATGGAATCTGGGAGAAGGAGATGGAATCTTGGAGAAGGGGATGGAATTTGGGAGAGGGGGATGGAATATGGGAGAAGGGGATAGAATCTGGGAGAAGGGGATGGAATCGGGGAGAGGGGATGGAATCTGAGAGAAGGGGATGGAATCTGGAAGAAGGGGATGGAATCAATGAGAAGGGGGTGGAATCTAGGAGAAGGGGACAGAATCTGGAAGAAGGGGATGGAATATGGGAGAAGGGGATGGAATCTGGGAGAAGGGGATGGAATCTAGGAGAAGGGGATGGAATCTGGGAGAAAGGGATGGAATCTGGGAGAAGGGGATGGAATCTGGGAGAAGGGGATGGAATCTGGGAGAAGGAGATGGAATTTGGGAGAAGCGGATGGAATCTGGGAGATGGGAATGGAATCTAGGAGAAGGGGATGGAATCTGGGAGAAGGGAATGGAATCTGGGAGAAGGGGATGGAATCTGGGAGAAGGGGATGGGATCTGGGAGAAGGGGATGGAATCTCGGATAAGGGGATGGAATCTGGGAGAAGGGGATGGAATCGGGGAGAAGGGGATGGAATCTAAGAGAAGGGGATGGAATCTGGGAGAAGGGGATGGAATCAGTGAGAAGGGGGTGGAATCTAGGAGAAGGGGATAGAATCTGGAAGAAGGGGATGGAATCTGGGAGAAGGGGATGGAATCGGGGAGAAGGGGATGGAATCTGAGAGAAGGGGATGGAATCTGGGAGAAGGGGATGGAATCAGTGAGAAGGGGGTGGAATCTGGGAGAAGGGGATAGAATCTGGAAGAAGGGGATGGAATCTGGGAGAAGGGGATGGAATCTGGGAGAAGGGGATGGATTCTGGGAGAAGGGGATGGAATCGGGGAGAAGGGGATGGAATCTGGGAGAAGGGGATGGAATCTGGGAGAAAGGGATGGAATCTCGGAGAAGGGGATTGAATATGGGAGAAGGGGATGGAATCTGGGAGAAGGGGATGGAATCTGGGAGAAGGGGATGGAATCAGAGAGAAGGGGATGGAATATGGGAGAATGGGATGGAATCAGGGAGAAGGGGGTGGAATCTGGGAGAAGGGGATGGAATCTGGGAGAAGGGGATGGAATCAGCGAGAAGGGGATGGAATCTGGGAGAAGGGGATGGAATCTGGAAGAAGGGGATGGAATCAGGGAGAAGGGGATGGAATCTGGGAGAAGGGGATGGAATCTGGGAGAAGGGGATGGAATTTGGGAGAGGGGGATGGAATATGGGAGAAGGGGATGGAATCTGGGAGAAGGGGATGGAATCGGGGAGAGGGGATGGAATCTGAGAGAAGGGGATGGAATCTGGAAGAAGGGGATGGAATCAGTGAGAAGGGGGTGGAATCTAGGAGAAGGGGACAGAATCTGGAACAAGGGGATGGAATCTGGGAGAAGGGGATGGAATCTGGGAGAAGGGGATGGAATCTGGGAGAAGGGGATGGAATCTAGGAGAAGGGGATGGAATCTGGGAGAAAGGGATGGAATCTGGGAGAAGGGGATGGAATCTGGGAGAAGGGGATGGAATCTGGGAGAAGGGGATGGAATCTGGGAGAGGGGATGGAATCTGAGAGAAGGGGATGGAATCTGGAAGAAGGGGATGGAATCAGTGAGAAGGGGGTGGAATCTAGGAGAAGGGGACAGAATCTGGAACAAGGGGATGGAATCTGGGAGAAGGGGATGGAATCTGGGAGAAGGGGATGGAATCTAGGAGAAGGGGATGGAATCTGGGAGAAAGGGATGGAATCTGGGAGAAGGGGATGGAATCTGGGAGAAGGGGATGGAATCTGGGAGAAGGAGATGGAATCTGGGAGAAGCGGATGGAATCTGGGAGATGGGAATGGAATCTAGGAGAAGGGGATGGAATCTGGGAGAAGGGAATGGAATCTGGGAGAAGGGGATGGAATCTGGGAGAAGGGGATGGGATCTGGGAGAAGGGGATGGAATCTGGGATAAGGGGATGGAATCTGGGAGAAGGGGATGGAATCGGGGAGAAGGGGATGGAATCTAAGAGAAGGGGATGGAATCTGGGAGAAGGGGATGGAATCAGTGAGAAGGGGGTGGAATCTGGGAGAAGGGGATAGAATCTGGAAGAAGGGGATGGAATCTGGGAGAAGGGGATGGAATCGGGGAGAAGGGGATGGAATCTGAGGGAAGGGGATGGAATCTGGGAGAAGGGGATGGAATCAGTGAGAAGGGGGTGGAATCTGGGAGAAGGGGATAGAATCTGGAAGAAGGGGATGGAATCAAGGAGAAGGGGATGGAATCGGGGAGAAGGGGATGGAATCTGGGAGAAGGGGATGGAATCTGGGAGAAGGTGATGGAATCTGGGAGAAGGGGGTGGAATCTGGGAGAAGGGTATGGAATCTGGGAGAAGGGGGTGGAATCTGGGAGAAGGAGATGGAATCTGGGAGAAGGGGGTGGAATCTGGGAGAAGGGGATGGAATCTGGGAGAAGGGAATGGGATCTTGGAGAAGGGGATGGAATCTGGGAGAAGGGGATAGGATCTGGGAGAAGGGGATGGAATCTGGGAGAAAGGGATGGAATTTGGGAGAAGGGGATGGAATCTTGGTGAAGGGGATGGAATCTGGGAGAAGGGGATGTAATCAGAGAGAAGGGGATGGAATCTGGGAGAATGGGATGGAATCTGGGAGAAGGGGGTGGAATCAGGGAGAAGGGGATGGAATCTGGGAGAAGGGGATGGAATCACGGAGAAGGGGATGGAATCTGAGAGAAGGCGATGGAATCCGGGAGAAGGGGATGGAATATGGGAGAAGGGGATGGAATCTGGGAGAAGGGGATGGAATCTGGGAGAAGGGGATGGAATTTGGGAGAAGGGGATGGAATCTGGGAGAAGGGGATGGAATCTGGGAGAAGGGGATGGATTCTGGGAGAAGGGGATGGAATCGGGGAGAAGGGGATGGAATCTGGGAGAAGGGGATGGAATCTGGGAGAAAGGGATGGAATCTCGGAGAAGGGGATTGAATATGGGAGAAGGGGATGGAATCTGGGAGAAGGGGATGGAATCTGGGAGAAGGGGATGGAATCAGAGAGAAGGGGATGGAATATGGGAGAATGGGATGGAATGAGGGAGAAGGGGGTGGAATCTGGGAGAAGGGGATGGAATCAGGGAGAAGGGGATGGAATCAGCGAGAAGGGGATGGAATCTGGGAGAAGGGGATGGAATCCGGGAGAAGGGGATGGAATCAGGGAGAAGGGGATGGAATCTGGGAGAAGGGGATGTCTGGCAAGAGCATTGCAACATTACATGGTGTCCGGCAAGAGCATTGCAACGCTACTGGGTATCGGGCAAGTCCATTGCAACGCTCCAAGGGTGTCCAACTAGAGCATTGCAACGCTCGAGGGTGTCCAGAAATTGCAACACTCCAAGGTGTCCGGCAAGAACATTGCAACGCTACGGGGTGTCCGGCAAATGCACTGCAACGCTCTGGGGTGTTCGGCAAGAGCACTGTAACGCTGCAGGGTGTCCGGCAAGAGCATTGCAACGATCTAGGGTGTCCGCCAAGAGCATTGCAACGCTCCGGGGTGTCCGGCAAGTGCACTGCAAAGCTCTGGGGTGTCTGGCAAGAGAATTGCAAGGCTCCAAGGTGTCTGGCAAGAGCATTGCTACGCTCTCTGGTTTCCGCCAAGTGCACTACAACGCTCCAGGGTGTCCGGCTAAGGCTTTGCAACGCTCTAGGGTGGTCAGCAAGAGCATTGCAACGCTCCAAGGTGGTCGGCAAGAGTATTGCAACGCTCCAGGGTGTCCGGCAAGAGCATTGCAACGCTATGGGGTGATCGGCAAGGGCACCGCAACGATCCGGGGTGTACGGCAAGAGCATTGCACCACTCCAGGGTGGCCGGCAAGAGCATTGCAACGCTCTACGGTGGTCGGCAAGAGCATTGCAACGCTCCGGAGTGTCCGACAAGTGCGGTGCAACGCTCCAGGGTGTCCGGCAAGAGCATTGCAAGGCTCCGGGGTGTCCGGCAAGAGCATTGCAACGCTCCTGGGTGGTCCGCAAGAGCATTGCAACGCTCCAGTGTGTCCGGCCGATCAATGCAATGCTCCAGGGTGTCCAGCAAGAGCATTGCAATGCTCCGGGGTGTCCGGCAAGAACATTGCAACGCTCCAGGGTGTCCGACAAGAGCGTTGTAACGCTCCAGGGTGTCCCGCAAGTGCAGTGCAACGCTCTGGGATGTCCGGCAAGTGCATTGCAACGCTCCGGGGTGTCCGGCAAGAGCCTTGCAACACTTCAGGGTGCGCGGCAAGAACATTGCAACGCTCCAGGGTGTCAGGTAAGAGCATTGCAACCCTCTCGGGTGGTCGGTAAGAGCATTGCAGCGGTCCAGGGTGTCCGGCAAGTCCATTGCAACGCTCCAGAGTGTCCGGCAAGAGCCTTGCAACACTTCAGGGTGTTCGGCAAGAACATTGCAACGCTCCGGGGTGTCCGGCAAGAGCATTGCAACGCTCTCGGGTGGTCGGTAAGAGCATTACAGCGCTCCAAGGTGGTCGGCAAGAGCATTTCAGCGCTCCAGGGTCTCCGGCAAGTGCCTTGCAACGCTCCAGGGTGTCCGGCAGGACCATTGCAACGCTCCGAGGTGACCCGGAAGAGCATTGCAACGCTCTAGGGTGTTCGGCAAGAGCATTGCAACGCTCTAGTGTGTCCCGGGATAGCATTGCTGTTATAGTCACAGTAGGCTCCAATGTGCCTATAACGAAAGATAGAGTGCACAGTCGGATTTCTGCACAGCGGCTTCAAACGTTCATAGCGTTCTCGTCACAGCTTCAAATGACTTGATTCAACTTGGATCTGGAGCGTCTTATTGTCGCCTACTATGGCAGCCACTATAGTCTTAGAACACAAGATAGAAAGAGTTAGGAAGAGTTACGAGTTGGGAATGACTCCCAGCTCCTACAAACCCCAAGAGCCAAGGTACAGTGATGTGAAACAGTGCCACACTGTCCCCAACCACGAAGGGTCTCGAAACTACCCTTCACTAGGGCCTACACCAAGTGAAATGTTACACTACACAAAGTATTGTAACTATCTTCAATATCTTGAGGTGTACCCATTTGGCGAGCTTTGAAATCACTTGAGGTTTGACACCAAGGCTCGGGCTCTTCATAACAAACTCATCCTTGAGTTCTTGATGGGTCTGCTGCACACACTTGCGACACACCGAATGTACGATACGGGACAAAATTGAAACCGCGCGCGAGACACAAACGACCGCTTAACACGCGTCTAGCGATAACTCGCTATTGACTCGACACATACACTCGACATCATGACTCAACATTCACACACAATTATAAGCATGAAATATATATTATCCCATGCCCTCATACCATTCCATACACACACACACATGCACGCACACGGACAACAAGCCGAGTGCAAACCATAGGGTTGCACCAACAATTGCAATGCTCCAGGGTGTCCAACAAGAGCATTGGAACGCTCCGAGGTGTCCGGCAAGAGCATTGCAACGCTCTAGGGTGTCCGGCAAGAGCATTGTAATGCTTCAAGGTGTCCGGCAAGAGCATTGCAACGCTCCAGGGTGTCCGGCAAAAGCATTGCAACGCTCCAAGGTGCCGGCAAGTGCACTCCAACGCTCTAGGGTGTCCGGCAAGAGCACTGCAATGCTCCTGCGTGTCCGGCAAGAGCATTGCAACGATCCAGGGTGTTTGCCAAGAGAATTACAAAGCTCCAAGGTGTCTGACAAGTGCAATGCAACGCTCCAGGGTGTTCGGCAAGAGCATTGCAATGCTACAGGGTGTCTGGCAAGACCATTGCAACGCTCGACGGTGTCCAGCAAGAGAATTGCAACGCTCCGGGGTGTCCGGCAAGTGCATTGCAATGCTCCGGGGTGTCTGGCAAGAGCATTGCAAAGCTTCAAGGTGTCCGGCAAGAGCCTTGCAACACTCCAAGGTGTCCGGCAAGAACATTGCAACGCTCCGGGGTGTCCGGCAAGAGCATTGCAACGCTCTCGGGTGGTCGGCATGAGCATTGCAACGCTCCAGGGTGGTCAGCAAGAGCATTGCAGCGCTCCAGAGTGTCCGACAAGAGCTTTGCAACGCTCTAGGGTGTCCGGCAGGAGGATTGCAATGCTCCGGGGTGTCCGGCGAGAGCATTGCAACGCTCTAGGGTGTTCGGCAAGAGCATTGCAATGCTCCAGGGTGTCCAGCAAGAGCATTGCAACGCTTCGGGGTGTCCGGCAAGAGCATTGCAACGCTGCAGGGTGTCCGACAAGAGCATTGCAACGCTCCAGGGTGTACGGCAAGTGCACTGCAACGCTCCAGGGTGTCCGGCAAGAGCATTGCAACGCTCCAGGGTGTCCGGCAAAAGCATTGCAACGCTCCGAGGTGACTGGCAAGTGCAGTGCAACGCTCCGGGGTGTCCGGCAAGAGCACTGCAACGCTCCAGGGTGTTCGGCAAGAGCATTGCAACAATCCAGGGTGTTTACCAAGAGCATTGCAATGCTTCGGGGTGTCCGGCAAGAGCCTTGCAACACTCCAGTGTGTCCGGCAAGAACATTGCAACACTCCGTGGTGTTCGGCAAGAGCATTGCAACGCTCTCGGGTGGTCGGCAAGAGCATTGCAACGCTCTAGGGTGGTCGGCAAGAGCATTGCAGTGCTCCAGGGTGTCCGGCAAGAGCCTTGCAATGCTCCAGGGTGTCCGGCAGGAGCATTGCAACGCTACGGGGTATCCGGCAAGAGCATTGCAACGCTCTTGTGTGTTCGGCAAGAGCATTGCAACGCTCCAGGGTGTCCAACAAGAGCATTGCAATGCTCCAAGGTGTCCAGCATAAGCATTGCAACGCTCCGGGGTGTCTGGCAAGAGCATTGCAATGCTCCAGGGTGTCCGGCAAGAGCATTGTAACGCTCCAAGGTGTCTGGCAAGTGCACTGCAACGCTCTGGGATGTCTGGCAAGAGCATTGCAACGCTCCAGGGTGTCCAGCAAAAGCATTGCAACGCTCCGAGGTGTCTTGCAAGTGCACTACAACGCTTCGGGGTGTCCGGCAACAGCACTGCAACGCTCGAGGGTGTCCGGCAAGAGCATTGCAACGATCCAGGGTGTTTGCCAAGAGCATTGCAATGCTCTTGCCAGACACCCTAGAGCGTTGCAATGCTCTTGCCGGACACCCCGGAGCGTTGCAATGTTCATGCCGGACACCCTCGAGTGTTGCAAGGCTCTTGCCGGAAACCTCGAAGCGTTGCAATGCTCTTGCCGGACACCCCGGAGCATTGCAATGCTTTTGCTGGACACCTTGGAGCGTTGCAATGGTATTGCCGGACACCTTGTAGCATTGCAATGCACTTGCTGGACACCTTGGAGCGTTGCAATGCTCTTGGCAAACACCTTGGATCGTTGCAATGCTCTTGCCGGACACCCTGGAGCATTGCAGTGCTCTTACTTGATGCCCCAGAGCGTTGTAGTGCACTTGCCGGACACCTCGGAGCGTTGCAATGCTTTGGTTGGACACCATGGAGCGTTGCAATGCTCTTGCCGGACACCGTGGAGTGTTGCATTGCACTTGCCGGACACCCGGAGCATTGCAATGCTCTTTCCGGACACCCTGGAGGGTTGCAGTGCCCTTAACGGACACCCTGGAGCATTGCAATGCTCTTGCCGGCCACCCTGAAGCATTGCAATGCTCTTGCCGAACACCCTTGGACATTGCAGTGCACTTGGCAGACACCCTGGAGCGTTGCAATGCTCTGGGCGGACACCCTGGATCGTTGCAATGCTCTTGCCGACCACCCTGGAGCGTTACAATGCTCTTGCCGGACACCCTGGAGCATTGCAATGCTCTTGCCGGAAACCCCGGATCGTTGCAATGCACTTGCTGGACACCCCAAAGAGTTGCAATGCTCTTACAGGACACCCTGGAGCGTTGCCATGCTCTTCCCGGACACCATGGAGCGTTGCGATGCTCTTGAGAGACACCCTGGAGTGTTGCGGTGCACTTGCCGGACACCCTGGAGTGTTGCGGTGCACTTGCCGGACACCCTGGAGCGTTCCAATGCTCTTGCCGGACACCCGTGAGCATGGTAGTGCTCTTGCTAGACACCCCGCAGCGTTGCAGCGCACTTGCCGGACACCCTGGAGCCTTGTACTGCTCTTGCCGACCACAGTGGAGCGTTGTTGTGCACTTGCCGGACACCCTGGAGCGTTGGAGTGCTCTTGCCGGCCACCCTGAAGCGTTGGAATGTTCTTGCCGGACACCTCAGAGCATTGTAGTGCTCTTGCCGGACACCCCGAAGCATTGCAGCGCACTTGCCGAACACCCCGGAGCGTTGCAATGCTCTTGCTGACCATGGTGGAGCGTTGCAATGCTCTTGCCGGCCATCCTGGAGCGTTGCAATGCTCTTGCCGACCACCCGGAAGCGTTGCAATGCTCTTGCCGGACACCCCTGAGCTTTGCATTGCTCTTGCCGGACACCCTGGAGCATTGCAGTGCACTTGCCGGACACCCCGGAGCGTTGCGGTGCTCTTGCCGGCCACCCTGGAGCGTTGGTGTGCACTTGTTGGACACCCCGGAGTGTTGCAATGCTCTTATCGACCACCGTGGAGCGTTGCAATGCTCTTGCCGGCCACCCTGAAGCGTTGCAATGCTCTTGCCGAACAACTTGGAGCGTTGCAATTCCCTTGCACGACACCCCGGAGCGTTGCAATGCTACTGCCTGACACCCTGGAGCGTTGCAGTGCACTTGCCGGACACCGTGGAGCGCTGCAATGCTCTTGCTGACCACCCTGGAGCATTGCAATGCTCTTGCCAACCACCAAGGAGCGTTGCAATGCTCTTGCCAGACACCATGGAGCCTTGCAATGCCCTTGCACGACACCCCGGAGCGTTGCAATGCTCTTGGCAGACACCCCTGAGCATTGCAGTGCTCTTGCTGGACACCCCGAAGCATTGCTGTGCACTTGTTGGACACCCCGGATTGTTGCAATGCTCTTGTCGACCACCGTGGAGCATTGCAATGCTC